CTACAGCTTACAAACCTATTAACCTTTATAAGTGATTGGTGGATTTTCAAAATCAAAAGATGGCAAAAATTATCTTTTCCATTCATCTGTGATCTGCATTTTTTAACTGAACTACATCTATATATCCACAGAAAATTCCTATAAATATATATCAGGCAAATATTTATATTCCTTGACTTTTAAAAGATCTTATTATGGTGCAAACACAAACTTTAAAATATTTTATTGGTATTTTAATTAGCTGATGAACAGAGCTGTAAAACACTCTGATATTTAGATCAGCGCTCCTAAAAACACAGTCCTCCATCTCCATTATCCTGAACCTTGTAGATATTAAAGTAACTAAATATGCTTAAGTAGATTAGAAAATGCATGTATCATTGTTTCAGTAGGCTGAATTAGCCCCTTAGCACGCAGTTAAGCTTTTCTGCTATGTCCTGCCATGTTGAAACAGATAAAAATTAAAAAGGTAAGGACACAGGATCCTGAGGACCAGAATCGAGGAAACCTGCTCTAGAGCTTTATTGAGCAGTGTTTTATTTAGAACCAAATTCCTAAAACTAATATCAAGTGTATTACATACTAGTGAAAAGAGCTGGAGGTTTAAAATTGTTCTACAGGTTTTTGTGTCAACAAAAAAGGCTTATAGCTAGAAAATAGAGAATTATGAATGTGATGTTCCAATGATGCCCAGTTCATCGTCTAAGAGGCTGCCTTTAATTTACTTAGTATTTACATTCTACTCTGGTAAAAGTCCAAGGAATCATCAAAAGTTACAGCAACAACCGATTATGTGAAAGTCAGTAACTTTTATTTAACATTTTTTTTTTTTTTTTCAATACAGATAAAAGGGAAAATAGGCAAGAAAAATAACAATATATATAAAAAAGAGCAACTTTCTGGAGGTGGTACCCTTTCCTCACAAGAGAAAGATCGATTGTTGAAGACAGCAGCAATCACAGGTTCTAATTGTGAAATACTTACCCTTGGTTTTCCCTCTTCTTGAAATCAAAGGCTCACTTTGGTCTTGTCCTCAGGTGCTGCCCAGGCCTGATTTATGGGAACAGGTTTCAAGGCAGCCACTTTAAATTACATGGCCTTTAAAGCTGAGCAAAAAGGGAGACAGGGAGAGAGAATAGCTCTGTATAGACAGCTAATGGGATGAATTTGACCTGCAACAGATAAGAAGGTTCTATTTCTTCTATAGAAGAAACATATAGCTGATTTGGTCACTCTGATAAGTATGCAGTAAAGATTAGGAACCATCTTAAGTGATTTGATAGAGGGATGATATTTTATCAAAAAATTAACAAGTTGTAACACATAAACGAAATGTAATTGCAGCAACTGAGATCATAAAAACTGTGTGACCTTATGAAAAGACTGTAAGGGAAGAATGGAGTTTATGATTTCTCATGCAATTAGGTGAGTTAGGAGAAAATATCAAAATGAAGCACTTTAAAGATTTTTTGAAAAACGCTTATAAATAGACATCATATCTGACCCAAAACATGAAAAGTTTTCTCTTATTCAACATCAAAATTAAGAACAGCTACATTTCTTTTTTATTTATATGTGATTATTGGGTTTTAAATGTGTTTCTCTAGGTCTTTTGCTTATGTTACAAGGGCATACGTAGCTGCAGCTCTTCTACGTGATTCGATGAGAGATGTGAGGGAGAGTCAGAGCAGCAGGAAGAGGTGACACTGCCATTTGCCTGCAGGGCACCCATAAACATGGAAAGGGAGAGAGAGTGCATCATTCCTCATGAGTGGTTGTACCATGTGACTCCAAGATGTTTTAAAAAGCAGACCAACCTGTCTTTTAAGGTACAGGTAACCACGGTGCACCAGAGGAGCAAGACGGAGAGAACACCCGGGCTGTCTGAGTAGCGGCAAATACCGACAGCCCCATTAAACAAACGGGGAGAGTGTTGATGAGATTAGAAACGTGCAGCGAATTTCTTTCCTCCCCAAGACTTAGATTGTACTTGGATAGTGTCTGCATTATAGACACGATGAGCTGCAGCAGTGTCACAGGTTCAGAATTCTCAGAGGAAGAGCTCGAGATTGGCGTGCTGGGACAAGGTGACAGCGATGGAAGCGGTAAACCAACTTTTGAAGACAGCCTCATTGACCCTGAGGAAAGCCAGAACAAGAAACGCAACAGACCCGTCCGTTCAAAGGCTCGGAGAATGGCTGCTAATGTGCGTGAGCGAAAGCGTATAATGGACTACAACCAAGCCTTCAACGCTCTTCGTCTTGCACTGAATCATGACTTAAATGGCAAACGGCTATCTAAGATCGCTACACTGCAGAGGGCAATTAACCGCATCTCCTCCCTCTCTGTTTACCTGAGCTCAAATCCTCCCAACAAGCCTTGCAGCCACCGAGAGTGCCACAGGTCTTCTGTAGGGCCAGCTGTGATGGGAGGGTCTCGACTTGAGCAGAACAGGGTTGGTGTACCTCGGCTAGAGCATCAAAGCTGCATCCCTTGGCATGCATCTGCCCCCCAGCAGATGGAGCAGCAAAAAGGATCTCACCTGCGCAGGCTGTCTGCAGATTCCCATGTCTACATGGATAGCACCATGAAATCTTGCCCACTGTCACCTCACTACTCTTGCTATCCAGCGGAGAGACATTTTTATGCCTCTCATGGACAATGCAGTGGACATGACAATCTGTCCAGTCCATTGCGATATCTTCCGATGGGTGATGGGTTGGAGTATCAGTCGGATATATGGAACTCTTGCCCTCAAGGATACATGGACAGTTTCATAGAGCCACCTCCTACTCTAGGACGTTCATGGCAGGTGAGCTACGTGCAGGAACCAGAGCACAGTTTCTCTGTCTGTGCAGACATACTTTAACGGGCTAAAGATCCATCGTAAGCCACCAGAACTGAACTGCAACAACAGATTCGCACAGCTGGAACTACATTAATGTACAACCTGCTAACTGAACAATTTAGACTTCATAAGAAATACATGTGATCCTGCATTTCTAAAATTGTGTAATACACAGATAAATGACATTTTCCACTTTAATATAAATCAGTTTATTCACAAAAATAATGGAATTGTGTATTAAACCCAGACAAAAATAGCTTTTGTGGCTGTTAAAATTTGAACATAAATGAAAAACTGAGGAAAACGGTGAAGAACATAGTTTATTCAGTGTCCTTTGTGAACCCACATCTTAAAATGTACAACTTCTTTCAATGTATTTATTCTGTGTTTAAACTACAAAATAAAAATAAATTAACTAAATGGTTTTGCCTCCATTATTTTCTAAAAATGCTTGCCAGCATGTGTAGATGCTCAGAGTTGAGTGTGTGTGTTTGTGTGAGGGTGTGTGTGTGTGCGTATAGCCTGAGGATGGTAGTTTCTCGCATTCTGTGAGATGGCAGAGGTCCTTCACTCAGTGGAAATGTCCTTACAAGTCCAGTCTTGCAATTTTTCTGAAAGGGGAAGTCAAGGTGGAATTTACACAGAGCTCAATAGAGGCTAGAACACAACTATGGCAGAGATTCAGCATATAAATCAACAAACTGACAGGTGTGAACAGTGATTTTTTTTGAAAAACAAAACAGACACCATCGTTTGAACTCCAATGTATCATCAGAAGGCAGATTCTGATTGCTGAGCAAGGTCACTGAAGAGTGAATCCCAGCCATAGGAATATGCTATCATTTCATGTGCTTTGCAGTGTGTTGGAAACACACTCCAGGAAAGAAGCCAAAGACAGATTTATTTGGGTTCAGGAAGGAACAGTGCACCCCATCATCACAGTAGTGAAATCCCCTGCTGGGCTGCACCAGCCCACAGGTGGAACTGGGTGTGTTAGGAGTTTTTGAACATCCTGGAGGTCTAACAGTATGAGCCTTGAAATGCTGCAGGGAAATGTGGGCTGCAGGAGAGATGGTGCCCCCTCAGTGGAAAAAATAACCGGTATGGTACAACAACAATTAGCAGGCAGGAAGCAGAGGGGAGATGGACACAGAGATAAATGGAGAGGAGGGGACAAATAATAGGAGAAGGGGGATGGATGTGGTGAGAAAAAGAAGAGTGACAACAGTCTGGGCTGTGTTTTAGTCTCAGCACAGACATGAATCACTGGGAAAGCTTGAATCACCATGAGAGGCAGCGATGGCTGACAGCACTCAGTGACGGCATGTCTCTTTCTCCTCCCTCCGTGGTTCAAATGTTCTTCTGGTTTATTTACTGAACTGGGTACTGGAGATTGATATTGAGTTGATATAACACTCTGTATGTGCAGTAATAATATGTATTATTAAATTACATAAATGGTTTAGTTTGGTTTTTACGTTACAGACGTGGCTAAACCGGGATAACTGCTTCTTTATAAAGTTCAAATCTAAAGCAATACAACAGATTGCAGTCTTGCAGCTTATACTGGATCCCACATACTATCTTGGTACTTCAATGACATCATGCCCAACCTAAGTGTGCATAGATATTAAGAGGATATTTTATATGGTATTTAACTATTAGCAATACTAGCCCAAAAAATTTTATATTTTTGAAACTTACACATTTAATACTAAAGAAACCTACATGTGACTTGTTCAAATACATACACAATACTATTTAGAGTAAAAAGATGAATATGCACTTTAACCTTAACACAATATCCCCACAATGAAACAGTCATGGCCAGATCCTGTCATGGTGATGCTTTTCTTTAGCAGGGACAGGGACCCTGGTTAGACTTCATGGAAGATGGAATAGTGGAGCATTCTGGAAGACGACATGTAAAAGAAGAAAGAGACTGGGTTCGACATTCACCTTCTGGCAGGATGAGATCACTAAACACAGTCAGAGCTACAATCGAACAGTCTAGATTACAACGTTTTCATGTGTTTTCATTGTCCTGTCAAAGACCAAACCTCCAGTTTCCTCTAAAAATGTTTTTTTTAAAGGATACTGTCATGATTGGTTTAAGGCTAAACCCACATGCAGAACACAAACGGAGGCTGAGTAAAAGTTTAACAGAGTTTATTGACAAAGGTTTTCACACAAAGACATGAACTGGTTCAGGTACTGGTCTGGGTTGGGTTCACTGATGTCTGCAGAGACGGACAGTTTGATTAGCCAGGCAATCAGATGATTAATTGAGTCTTTAGATAATTCAGAGTCTACCTTGAAGAAGTCCAGGCTTTACTTGTGAGAGAGGGAACCGTTGGGTCCAGAGACTGTTGGTTCAGCAGAGTGCACAAGCAGCAGCAGCGTCTAGCTTCTGACTTTGAATGGCAGACCTTGATCAGAGTTTCTAGCTCTTCTCTGAGAGCAGCAGGAGAAATCCAGATTGGAATCTTCAGGTTTGGCTCACCAGGGCTGGCAGGCAGGTTAAGCTCATCCAGAGCTTCAGACTTGAGACAGGTTTCCTGTGAGCAAAGACAGAGGCAGATTAGAATCAGGTTTCTCTCTAGAGATAACTAAGATTCTTTCAGGTAACAGAGGCTCAGGTTCGCTAACCAAACTAGGTCAACACTGTGGCGTTGAAGGAAGGTCTGGCAGCTGCTTATGTAGGGAAGGTCTCCTGATGAGCAGACGAGCTCCAGGTGTGCTGGAGGGCTCCAGCCCAGGAGACCCACGGCACACTCTGCTGGAGGAAGGTGGTACATCCCCAGATCCCAACAGATACAGGTGCTGGTCATAAAATTAGAATATCATGAAAAAATAGATTGATTTCAGTAATTCCATTTAAAAAGTGAAACTTGTATATTATATTCATACATTACATACAAACTCATATATTTCAGATGTTTATTTTGTTTAATTTTGATGATTACAAATGACAACAAATGAAAATCTCAAATTCATCATATCAGAAAATTAGAATATTACTGAAGACCAATAAAAACAAAGGATTTATAGAAATGTTGGCCAACTGAAAAGTATGAACATGAAAAGTATGAGCATGTACAGCACTCAGTATTTAGTTGGGCCTCCTTTGGCCTGTATTACTGCAGCAATGCGGCGTGGCATGGAGTCGATCAGTCTGTGGCACTGCTCAGGTGTTATGATAGCCCAGGTTGCTCTAATAGTGGCTTTTAGCTCTTCTGAATTGTTGGGTCTGGTGTATTGCATCTTCTTCTTCACAATACCCCATAGATTTTCTATGGGGTTAAGGTCAGGAGAGTTTGCTGGCCAATTAAGAACAGGGATACCATGGTCCTTCAACCAGGTACTGGTAGCTTTGGCACTGTGTGCAGGTGCCAAGTCCTGTTGGAAAATGAAATCTGCATCTCCAAAAAGTTGGTCAGCTGCAGGAAGCATGAAGTGCTCTAAAACTTCCTGGTATGTGGCTGCGTTGACCCTGGACCTCAGAAAACACAATGGACCAACACCAGCAGATGACATGGCACCCCAAACCATCACTGACTGTGGAAACTTTACACTGGACTTCAAGCAACGTGGATGAAGTGCCTCTCTTCTTTTCCTCCAGACTCTGGGACCTTGATTTCCAAAGGAAATGCAAAATTTACTTTCATCAGAGAACATGACTTTGGACCACTCACCAGCAGTCCAGTCCTGTTTCTCTTTAGCCCAGGCAAGACGCTTCTGACGCTGTCTGTGGTTCAAGAGTGGCTTGACACAAGGAATGCGACAGCAGAAACCCATGTCTTTCATACGTCTGTGTGTGGTGGTTCTTGAAGCACTCACTCCAGCTGCAGTCCACTCTTTGTGAATCTCCCCCACATTTTTGAAGGGGTTTTGTTTCACAATCCTCTCCAGGGTGCGGTTATCTCTCTTGCTTGTACACTTTTTTCGACCACATCTTTTCCTTCCCTTCGCCTCTCTATTAATGTGCTTGGACACTGAGCTCTGTGAACAGCCAGCCTCTTTAGCGATGACCTTTTGTGTCTTGCCCTCCTTGTGCAAGGTGTCGATGGTCGTCTTTTGGACAACTGTCAAGTCAGCAGTCTTCCCCATGATTGTGTAGCCTATAGAACTAGACTGAAAGACCATTTAAAGGCTTTTGCAGGTGGTTTGAGTTAATTAGCTGATTAGAGTGTGGCACCAGGGGCCATCAATTTTGAACCTTTTCACAATATTCTAATTTTCTGATATGATGAATTTGAGATTTTCATTTGTTGTCATTTGTAATAATCAAAATTAAACAAAATAAACATCTGAAATATATGAGTTTGTATGTAATGTATGAATATAATATACAAGTTTCACTTTTTAAATGGAATTACTAAAATTTTTCATGATATTCTAATTTTATGACCAGCACCTGTACTGCAGTTATTTATAAACACTCTCTCTTCTTCAACTTCAACTCTTCACCTTTGTCACCTGGTGTGAGCAGCTCAAGGTGGCAAAGACCAAGGTGCTGGTGGATCTGAGAAGGAGTAAGGCCCCAGTCAGCCCTGCTTCTATCTGTGGGGCGAATGAGGAGGAGGACACTGTGGAGGATTATAAATACTTAGAGGTGCACTTGTACAATAAACTGGACTGGCCAAACAAACAAATGTCCTCTACAGGAAGGGCCAGATCCATCTCTATTTTCTGAGGTGGCTGAGGTCCTTCAACATCTGCAGACAATGCTGCAGATGTTTTATGAGGCTTTGGTGGTCAGTGCCATCCTTTATGCTGTTGCATGCTGGGGCAGAAGACTGAGAGTGAAAGATGTCAACAGATTAAACAAACTCAACTGCAAAACAGTCACGTTGGTGGAGAGGATCTGAACTCTCTGACAGCAGAATGTTTGCCAGGATAAAATCCATGTTGGACAATTCTGCACATACTTCTAGTGATTTGCTGGTCACCCAGAGAAGCACCTTCAGTCAGAGACTCATTGCATCACACTGCAGCACAGAGTGCCACAGAAAGTCATTCCTGCCTGTAGTCATCATTAATGGCTCTGTCTAACAGCCATTTATTAGAATCTATTCGATTCATTTATTTTATTGCAATAACACGGTCATGTGCAATAATTGTAATTTGGTAATAAGCAGCATTGTAAATTATAAATACTGTTAATTGTATATAATGTGATCCTTATTTTCTTGTTAAATCTTATTTGTACTTAGAATCTTATTTTGTTCCAAATGTGAATAGTCCCACACAATCTCATCTTCATACTTTTGACCCTGTGCTGACATATGGCAAGAATGTGAAGAAATAACAGTTTCCTCACAACCCTGTCCTCTCTGACCACTTTTTAATAACCTTCAAGATTAATTTAACACAGTTAAATTAAGAAGAAGGTTATCAAAAGAAGGTTTCCCTTAAGCAGATCATTTTCAGATAGAGCAGTTATAAACGTTAAAGAATCTGTTTCATTTTCTCTGTCCTCTGTGTCACTGAGCAGTGCTGCAGAGGGCAAAAGTTTAACTTATTCCCCTTCAAAGGTTGATGATTTTGTTGATGGGGTTGCTAGTTCTATGACTAATAATATGTTCAATGACTATTACCTATGAATGTTTTATCTGTGGATGGTGGGGCAGCATCTGAGGTAGCCATAGATCTGAACTGGGTTAAGACTGCATTGATCCAGTTGAACTTTCAGAGTTAACAAAACTATTGTCTTCATCTAAGCCTTCAACTTGGATGTTAGATCCAATTCCAACCAGGTTATTTAGCAAAGTATTCCCTTTGATCTACTCCTCCAATTTAGATGTGATTAATCTCACCCTGTTACAGGGATATGTACCAAAGGCTTTTAATGTAGCTGTAATCAAACCTTTACTTTAGAAACCCAGATGACTTGGTCAATTATAGACCTATATCCAATCTTAGTAGTTGCCAAACAAGTGTGTGACCACTTACACGATAATGAACAGATACAAGTTTAAGTCTGGCTTTAGAGCTCATCATAGCACTGAAACTGGTGAAAGAAGCAAGAAAGGAATGTCCCACAAGGGATTAATGAAGTAGTTCTGATTCTGATTCAAAAAGACAGAACATGAACAATTTTACAAAAAGTAATGACAATAAAAATGCATCATACTTTGAAGGTCTGCACTTTAAACATTTTAAAAAGCATATTCTCAGGCTTTGCAGTTATACACTACTTTGTGTTGATGTATTAACAATTCAAATGAAACCTATTTTAATGTCACACAATGAGATAGCATAGTTTCTTTTACATTTATCTCTGTTTTTAAGCCAGAATTAATATGAAAAGAGATTAAAAGCAGAAGCCTATGATATGAGTGAGGACTTCATTAATAATGGTAAATTAATGGTTCCAGAATACGTAATTGTGACATTTTGGAATCCATAAAATGCATGTGAAGTAGAAGTAACATTTAATCATAAAATATATAGTTTTCAATTTTTTGCTGATTATGTGATTCCAATTTACTAAAAGATGTTTACGTACTTGGCACCTAGCTTTGATTTTATTGCTGCTGCTTTGCAAAGAGGTGCTTTAACAGGTAAGCTTTTTACGATTAAGCATGATTCATCTCAGGCTATACTTCACTTCTCTAGCTTGTGATCCTGTCAGTGATGCATCGTTTCCTCAGCCTGCTCCGCCTCCTTAATGCTCAGCCTGCCACACTAATGGAAAACAAAACAAGCATAAATATGTGAAATGAAGTCAAGACACACGGCATGTGTTTGCCTGATATATTGGGATGAGTCAGCTCTCAGAGACTTTTTATGCTTTAACGCACTGCTTTAAGCTTACCCAGACACCAACACATGCAATATACACACACACATAGACTATGATAATGTTAGTCAAAAAGTAGAAATTCTTTTCAAGCTGCAAAAAAGTTTTTTTATTTTGTCCTGTAGATTCATAGATCTGGTCCTTTTTTAAATGGTAGGACTTTCTAACTGCTGTGGTTTGTCATGTAGTTCACCTGCAAATCCTTGTTAAAGTATTTATATCTTTGTATAATTTTTATCCTCAGAATATTAATATCATTATATTAATATTAATATCGGATCATCCTGTTGTGATCTTTATCCATCTGCCCGTCAGCTCTGCCAAGCTTCAAAATATCCAGAAGCATTGTTACAGCATGATGCTGACGTCGTCATTGACAAAGTGCATATAGTATGTGTAATATGTAATTCCATTTTCAATTCAATCTCAATTCAGTTTATTTACACAGCACCAATTCATGACACTTAATCTCAAGACACTTTACAGAGACCGTAATGTAAGATTGGTTAGGAAAACCAGTTGATTGCATGTTCTGAGAGATTTCTTTGCAACATCAGGCAGAAAGGGGAATTTTGATTAATCAGATCAGAAAAAAAT